TAGTTTAATTTGCACGCATTAGAGAACCCTTTAGAAACTAGTAAACCATCATTTAACTGATGTTTAGGCTGCAAAGTAGTTTCAGAATGCACTGAAATGATTTAATGATTATTGACAAACATATTCAACATTTCTACCTAATTTCCAGACTGAACATGTTAAATAAAGTGACTCATATACACTGAAATGCATACGTTTCCAGTTTGTTTTTCTGGAAATTTCAAATGTAAAACAACACAAACGTCTCAGAGGTTGCTGGAAATATTCCAGACAATTTCCAAAAGTGTCTTCACAACTGTCTGATAGCCTGGTAAAGACTGGATCATGTCTAATTTTAATGGCATGTTAGAGTACGTAAAAGATAAACAATTGAGAGTTAGGGTTAGGGTTGCAGATAGAAACAAAAACACAGGAAGATTTACCCAAGGCAGCATAAATTGTGGAAAAAAACATGTAAAAAGTTCATATTGATAAAGCAAATATCCCTAAATGTCCTCATATTACTTTTAAGTAGAGCCCCACCTGTTTATCACCAGTATTTTGCAGATATATATTTGTATTTCTGTGTATGTTGACTGATATACATGGATAAAAAAGTTTTGGGGTTTTTTTGACAGAAAATACGAGGTGTGTCAGAAAAGTTCCAGGACTGATGTCACAAAAGATAGATTTCAAATCCAATCTACAAACTACCAGTATTGCCCTGCCAAGTAATCCCCGTGGAGTCTAACACACTTCCCCAGCCTTCTCTGGACTCCTGGAAGGACTCTTAAGCCATCTTGATGTCGTCTTCTAAACGGGTCCCCTTGATGACCCCCTTGAGCTTGGGGAAGAGGAACCAATCCCATGGAGCGAGGTGGGGTGAGTAGGGAGGTTGCTCCAGCACGGAGATGTTCTCCTCAGCCAGGAGCTGTGGGATGCTCAGGACGCTGTGAGCAGGTTGTCATGGTGACGCAGCCTCCACTGGTCCTGACACAATTCTCGCCTCTTCTCTGAACGAAGCAAACGCTGCAGGATCTCTTTGTGGACGTGTTGGTTGATCATCTGAAGGGGAAAACTGGTAGTTTGCTGTTTGGGTTTGAAATATATCCTTTGTGACACCAGTCCTGGAACTTTTCTGACGCACCTCTTGTGCTAAAAATGGCGTCATGAGATGGTTGTTCGGTGGTGCACCTTCAACTCCATTGTTTAAACTACTGTCTCCAGCAGAGGAGGCATCACAGCTGAGCAGATAACGGTACGGACTTAAGCTTTTCCTTCATATTTAGCTGCTATTTACAGAAATACATCAGTGGGACGTTACCAAACACTGACCCACACATACATCAATACCAACACCATCCAATCCAAACATCCAGCATCAGTCCAAGTGTACTTTCAATGAAACTATGTTGAGTAACCTCGCTGCCATTTTGGACGCTTTCCAACCACCGAAAAAAAAACACTTTCTGTTGAGCGCATGAACATATGATAAAGTGAGCAAACAGTGGAAACGCTGGAACCACCGCTGCCCTACAGCAGGAAGTCAATCAGTCAGCAAACCCCGAGCCCAGCATAAGCAGCAAAAGCAGAATTAATCACATGGGATAAAGTCAGGTCTGCATTTTCTGTTTTTCATTTTTCAAAACGACACAAAGAAAAGCCGCCCGGCAGCGGTGATTAAGCACACTGTATCCAACACCTAATAAGTCTGAGATCTGATGTATGGCTGAAAGAGGAGGCGTCGTGAGCAGAGATGGTCGGCGCTTTAACAAGCAGCTGCTTGTGTAAAAATCACAGAAGAGGAGAACGATGCCAGAAGGCTGCGGACGCCCGATCTCTGTTATTGTTAGTGAAGTGTTCAGCCATGACAACCACATGCTGCCCTCTCTTTTTTTTTTTTTTTTTTTGTGTCTGTTTTACGGTACAGTCGTATCATTTCTCTCTGCCCTCTGGCGGCACGGCAGCTGCCCCTGTCAGAGGCTGATTTATGACTTAATTCTGCTGTCACTGATGCATATTTGAAACACACTCCTCTTATTAAGGGAGCCGGAGAGCAGACATTTAATTGCTTTTGATTGCAGAGTAATTTAATCTTGAAAACTGTTACCATGCAAACATAAATACACGTTGATGCTGGGGCTCACTCTCAGAAACACTAAATGTGAGCTTAAAACGGCAGCATCAGACGACATGACAGCAGCATCCATGATCACATGTTCTTCAGAAGTCACACATCTGTTAAACCCACCCACCCTAAGACCTGTGCACTTTGATCAGCCATTGTGTTAATCCCCAATTTTAATTCTGAGCGGGACGGAAAAATCCCAGAACAGCTGTTCTCCGCTCATTTGTCCGCTGACTTGGACACGATCTGCTGCCTGCTCAGCGTGACTGCAGGAGTGTCTGTGTTCTCCTGTTCGTCGTGTTGTGGAGACAAATCTGTCGACACAGGGAGCCCACACCCGATGTTAGTCATTACATCTGAGTATGAAGCTGAAGTTATGGTTAGGTACAGGTTAAGATCAGGGTTAGAGAAGTCAGACAATAAGTCTATAGATTGTAATATTCTTTGTGTGTGAGCACAAAGTCAAACATTTCTAAAGTATGACAGATCAAATTATGGAATTTACTCAAATGTATGCAGCACGAACACTGACTTCAACACCGACAGTAAGGATACAAAAAACTTTATTTAAACAAAGTTATTTTAAGGACCCTTTCCAGGAAGTTGTTTACCTCGTCCATATGGCGTTGTGTACGTGCTGAAAGGCATAGCACGAGTGAAATGAGAAGCAAACACCACGGCTGAGTGCTTCCACCTTCAATCTGCAGCGTGCCGTCTCAAAAACACAGATTTTAGATTTCTTTTATCTGTGACACACCGCTCCAGATCTTTAGTCTTCAGTTTCCTGTTCAAACACGTGTGGCTGAATTAGGAAAGTTTGTGTAGCGTGGAGTAGATTCACAGTGTCTGAGCAGGTGAGCTGGTGAGCTGGTGTGCTCCAGCTGCAACAACCAGGAAGAAGTGGAAGGAGAGACTTCATAGATCTGCACAGTTGTAGAAGAAGCCATTTTATTGTAGGAAGGGATTGTTTTCATGGGAAAAAACGTTTTTGTGTCTTTGATGGGCTGCACGGTGTCTTGGTGGTTAGCATTGTTGCCTCGCAGCTAGAAGGTCGCTGGTTCGCGTCCCAGTGAGGACACCCGGGATCTTCCTGCGTGGAGTCTCCATGTTCTCCCCGTGCAGCGTGGGTTCTCTCCGGGTTCTCCGGCTTCCTCCCACAGTCCAGAAACATGCTGAGGTTAATTGGTGATTGTAAATTGTCCGTAGGTGTGAATGTGAGTGTGCTTGGTTGTCTGTCTCTAAGTGTAGCCCTGTGATAGACTGGTTACCTGTCCAGGTGAACCTGCCTTCACCCTGAGTCAGCTGGGATAGACTCCAGCCCCCCATGACCCTGGTGAGGATTAAGGTGTAGAGATGATGGATGAATGTATCTTTGATAAGCAGAGATGAGTTTTTAGAGGTTAAATCAACAGCTGGAGAGACTGTAAGGATTTTAAACACGTTGGTTTGTAATGAAAACGGGTTAAAGTTCATATTGAGCACAATTCAGCCTTATGCACATGTGCAGAAACTCCCTGGTCTGACTGAACGCCTCTTTGGGAGTCCGCCTCATAATGACTGAGAATTTGAGGTCGGATAAGTTTCTGAGCTTCACTCAGGTAACTGTTCCCTCCAAATTCCATTTAACTCTATACTGCAGGGGGCAAAAAAATAAAAATACTGCCTCATAAAAACAACCAGAATTCAACAAAACTACTTTCCGAAACACTTCATTTGGAGAGCGTGCATGTAGGCATGAAACCTTCACATCCATTCATGAGTTTAAGAGCATCATAAAGAACACAGTAAAAGAGGAACGTCACTGTTTTTCTTGACATTTGCGAGTCGTGAATGTTTGTTCCACCTGCCGTCAAAAAGGTATTCTGTCACAGTTTCTTTCATACATTCTTGCTGAAGTTCAACTTTTATTACCGTTAAAGTAAATTATTGCATTAATTAATTACTGCAAAACTAATTGCTACACGTAAATTAGCCATGAGAAGGAAACCTGGAAGTGCAGCACTGGAACAAGCAGTAATAAATGTGAGAGAGCACTCGTGTGTGTGAAACACTGTCAGACATACTGTACCGCGTATACAGTACATAAAGCCACATGTAGAATGTAAGATGAAGGATCCAGCTAGCGTTTCCCTGCGACGCTACTGACATCTGACATCTGATGATCATTTCAAAGGCCGACTGCAGCGGCAGAGACATGAAACAGACAGACCTGAAACAGACATAAAGCCTCTCTGTATCAGTTGGGTGTCAGATGAGACAGAAAGAGACGACTTGCCTTATGTGAGGTTTTTTTCTTTTTCATAAGCTGTCAGTTTTTAAAAGTTTCTTTAAGCTCCATCAAACAGAGATATTTCAGTGTTGTTTTGGCGCGAGCGGATTGTTTTTTTCTTCCCGGTTTGTATGTAGTTTCCTGTAATCATTCTTGTGTTTGTCGAGAAAACTACTTTCACTCTAACGTATGTCTTGAAAGGCTCGAGCAGCGGTTTGGCATGAACGTACCATGTGTGAACAACGCAAAAGGGTTTTAAAAAACACATACAGGAATTTTGGTTTTTCTGTTAGATACCCAAAGTGGGAGGAATGTTTGGTGTCGATGGTGCATATTTATGCTCTGTGCATAACCTCGTTTAGTACACAGGAATGCTGCTGGGTAGGATATCCTTTTGCCTTCACACCAGGAGGACTGTGAAGCAGTCAAAGCAGGTGCCAGAAATCCTCCACAGGGATTTTGGTTCATGTTGGTCTGATAGCATCGCACAGTTCCCTGCAGAAATGTCAGTGGTGCATTCATGCTGTGAAAATCCTATCCCACTTTATCCCAAAGATGCTCTATCCAGTTGAGGTCTTGGCCCTGTATAAAGAACTAATGCCCTTGTCATGTTCTTGGAATCACTCCACCCCTGGCAGCGTGGCGCGCATCATCCCTCGGCAAGTACTTATTGGTTAAAAAATAAAACTGGTACAGAAGCAATGCATTTACATTCAGATGGTGCTTGGCTGCTAATGGCAGTCATGCTGAGAAATCATTGTTGTATCACCAATTTCAGCCTACACGCGGCACGGTGGCAGCATGAATCCACGCTGTGTGCATCAGACTGTGCAGCTGCCAACAGCAGGTTGCAAGAAAACCAAATACAGATTCTTTGGTCATTCATTTCTTGGATCTCCTTCTCACTGCAGTCCGCCCCAGGGTTCAACAAGATGTGTGTCATCAGAGGCTTCACTATATGTTATTGTCCAACTACTGTTAGCTTGTATAAGCTCTGCCATTGTTGGCTCTTCACAGAAGCACTGCAGAAGGGTTTGTTTTGTCGCTGCTGCTGTTCCAGCGTAATAGATGTAGAATAAATGGTGTTTCATGTGGACACAAGAGTCTTGTTGACATACTTAATGTGCTGCCCTGTCCTCAGAATGTGTTTATATGCTGCTAATTTGTTTTGTAAGAATCATAATGTGTGCCTGTCAGGGTGTAATGTGATATAACACAGGAATCTGACGCCGGGCTTCGCATCCTGAGTTCTGTGTGGTTTAAGTCATAAATCAACCTGCTCTGATGTAAACAATCTAATCGGATGTTTGTGTTTGATATGACCCAAAGAAGCACACCAGGAGCAGACGACATGCCACAGATAAAACAACACTGGTATTAATAAAGCTTCGGGGATGTGACGGTGCTGTGATTTGGTTGGGTTAAGGCTCAAAAACAGCTTGGCAGCGTTTGGGGAACGGTCGTGGTTTGAATTCAAATCAGTGCTTTGCGAAGGTTAAAGGACCCCCGTTGTCATGGTTATGATAATAAACGCCCAGTTAAGGTAATAAAAGAAACAACGTCTGAAACTGGAAACAAACAGCGGTCAGATGTAATAAAGTCTAATGTTTTGTCAGCCCGTCCATCCACCCCAACCTCCATCAGTCACTGGAATAGTGTGCTGACTCACTTTCTGGTGGAGTTAACCCTCTCCTGTCTTTAAGCACGAAACTACAACCAGACTGTAAAGAAAGTAAATCTTCCTACCAGCTCCTCTGCAGCTCACTAATTAACACGTATGTCCTTCTCATCAAAGGTGAAATATGAAGCTGATTGTCTCGTTAGATTAAGTCCGATGCCATTCTCCTGATTCAGCCTGGATTAAACCATTTCACAAGACTGTTGATAAAAGTTAACCCAGTTCCCTCTAAAATCCAATAAAAACAAAATCACAGGTTTACTGAGCAAACTTTCCTGCTTCTCTTTGTTCCAGCTCTACCTGTCTCTCATCTGTACAAACAGTTTTTCTGAAGGTAAGACATCCAGGAATTCAAACGTAGGTCACTTTTAGGTTGAACTTCAAAGAGAGACGTGATATTTCTCAGTCATGTGAGGACATCATGCATTATAATACATAAATAAACAGAAAATGGAATCCAAATCCGCCAAAGCATTTAGTTTAGAGTGTTACTTGCAATAAGTTGAGAAGAAAAACTCCTACAAAGAGTTTGAAGCATGCCGCCATGTAGCTTGTGTGTGCTTATTTATTAACGTGATGGCGTGCACCGAAACACAACCAGGTCTGAACCCCGTCAGACGGCCATCGCAACTTCTGCAGAAAAGCTAACAAGGCGCTTATTCAATTCAGATGCCATCAGAATAACAAAACGGAGTGCATGTCTGAGAGGAGCTTTAAATGAGACGGTTAAATGTCAATAGCACTAAATTCAATTCACATCCCTATAAAAACGCTGGTTCACTGAAGCCAAACAGCATTTGACCAGAGTTCAAACCGAGTCTGATCGACCGCTGACACAGGTTTAACCCACATCAAATGTGTCAGTCTGAGCAAAGTTTTTATTCTCAGTCTCTTTATTGTTTGTCTTGGGTCTCAAAATCGCCCTCTCTTTATTCTTCCTGAGCTCCCTCTTTCTCTCTCTGTACTTTGAGGCGACGCTCTGACCATCTTAATTGAGTCCGTAAGTCCAAAGTGTGGAGTAAAAAAAAAGCAAAAACACATTGAAGGACACAGTTTCTGGGTTTTTTATGTTGTTATATACAAAAAAATAAACTTATTTATCCCAAAAAGCCTCCAACAGGTTTTAGTGAGGCACCTAAATGTTGGATTTGTGTTTATATACGTCGCTCACGTACATATAGTGAACAGTCATGTGCTCGTCGTGACACATTAGTCAGGAAATTAAGTGGGACAGCCATAATGGCTCAGTAGCGTTTGTTAGTTTTCAGATTCCTCTTCGCCGCCGCCTCCTCTCTGCTGTTCCTCAGGCGGATCACTAATGGTTTTTCTTTGATAAACATTATTAATATGGCTCATGAATTAACATTCATAGTGGCCCACTTTCTCTCCGTCATCTTCCTCTCCATCTCTGGTTTTAAAGTGATTCTCCAAATTGTGACTTTGAAGTTTAACAAGCTGTGCTCGTAAATACATTGCTGGAATTTAGCCGTACATGACGCCCTCAAAGTCGCGTTGTGAAGGTCAGGCAGCGACACACAGTGAAGAAGACGTCTGTGTTATCGGCCTCGTTGATAAATCCAGACGTTAGCTATGAATGTAGGAGAAATTTAGTCAGAAACATCCATTCACCAAAATTAAAAACTCTGTTCCATGTGCTGCCAATGACTGCTGGAACCTAAATACAAGACTTTCTAAAAAAAACTAATCAGAAACAAGTCTTCTGACACGACCGACTTCCAACAAGTCCTTCAATTTACATGCAGGAATTGTCCACATCCCCCACAAGTAGGGGCAGTTTTTTTATTTGATGCTTCCTCAAGTGAGGGAGTTTAAGTGTCTCGATATCTTGTTCATGAGTGATGAGAAAATGGAGCCCGAGGTGGACGGGATCAGCAGTAATGCGGGCTGTACCGGACCGTCATGGTGAAGAAAGAGCTGAGACGCAAGGTGAAGCTCTCGATTTACCAGTCCATCTACGTCCCAACCCTCACCTATGGTCACCAGCTTTGGGTCGTGACTGAAAGAAAGAGATCGTGGATACAAGCTGCCAAGTAGAGCCGCTGCTCCTTCAAGTCGAAAGGAGCCAGGTGGTTTGGAGAACCTGATTCAGATGCCTCCAGAGAGGCTTCCTCTAAAGGTCTTCCGAACGCGTCCACCTGGGAGGAGACCCCGGGGCAGACCCAGAACCTGCTGGAGGGATTATGTCTCTCGGCTGGCCTGGGAACGCCTCAAGATTCCCCAGAAGGAGCTGGAAAGTGTTGCCAGGGGGAGGGAAGTCTGGAATGACCTGCTCCACCTAGGATGGATGAATGGATGGATGGATGGATGGATGGATGGGTGGGTGGATGGATGGATAGATGGATGGATGGGTGGATGGATGGATGGATGGATGGATGGATGGATGGATGGATGGATGGATGGTTCGATGGATGGATGGATGGATGGATGGATGGATGGATGGATGG